GGATTTCTTCTTAGCTATCAGTAGTTGGTAAATCACCAAACATACCCCTTAAAAACAATTAGTCTATAAAAGGTTTCAATAACAATGAACAAGCTTGATCAAATGGATTATATGGATTACTACATCCAGTTATATCCCAGGACATAAAATATTGGGCCACGAGTTAAGGTTAACAAACTTCAAAGGATGAGTTATAACAGACCCTTTTACTCTGCTTAAAAAAAATTAAGAAAACAACTGGGGAAAAAACCCTCTTTTGTTAATAAGGAAAACAATTAAAGGCCCCAAATGTCAAAGAAAATATTACAGACAATGATATTAAAAAGTTTACATATCAAAATCAGTGATTTGCAGCCAAAAGGTACTTAAGAGGAAAAGTTATAACCTTAAGTGGTTATAATAGCAAACAAGAAAGACTAAGAAGTGCAGTAAAAATGTAGTAGATCAAATAGAATGACTAAGGCGTGAGGAATGATTGTAGCACAGTGCAGGGCAGGGGACTACTGTCCTTTGCTGCTTGCAGTCATTGGCCCCTGTATTTTGGGGGAATACTCATAACTTTTTAAGGAGTCAGTTTTCAAGATTTTGGCCAGACAATGTTATCTAGGTTATTGGGAACAGTTCATCTAAAGAGTAAGAAAAAAAAGCGACAACACTGTAATGTCCCAAATACCAGGTCATAATTGATTGACTCGTGCTATGGTGTCTCTGTTCTTCATTGAGAATTTTTTTTTTAAATCCACCTTTTTTAGTTGAGTGATTTAATACCAGTAGGTTTGGTTTAGTAGATAGATTCTCAAAGTATGATCGCTGAACCTCTGGGGTCCCCGAGGTATTTTCAGGGTGTCCATGAGATCAAAACTCTTTTTGTGATAATAGTCATTTTTTGTCATTTTCACTGTGTTGACATTTATACACTGGTGATATGAAAGCAATAGTGAAAAAACTGCTGGTCAGCTCAAATCATGGGAGTGGCACCAACTGTATTAAGAATAGTTATATTCTTCACCACCATGTACTATTGGTTAAAAAAAATGCTAGTGCCATGTAATAAAACTTAGAATTATTGGTTTTGTTAAACCTACAGTACGTGTCTTTTTAATATTCTAGAGATGAAATAGGAAGGACACATAAAGCACTTTTGCAGTTTAGTGACTTGTCGGTTGTCTCAAAAAAAACACCAAGTTGATTGACAAATCAACTACGACTCTTTAGAATTGGTTATTTGGTAGACCTTATTTATGTCCTTTCAGAAACTTAATTGTTTTTCTTAAAGTAAGCCTGTCACTTTAAGGAAAATAATTATCAAGGATATAATTCAAGCTTTCAAGCACACATTAGAATTTTAGAAATCTTGTGTCCCTCAACATAAGCTTGACAGCTTTTTTGTATCCTTAAATACACTTCTGATGAAATCAGTCATGATATTGACAAATGTGACTGTGATATTGTATAATGAAATGGGCCAACATTTGGAAGATCTACATAACTCAGTAAACCAACATTCTTCAGATGATTGGTGTTTGTTTACAAAATCATACAAGGGTGACCAATCCATTCAAAGTGCAGGAGAGATAAATGCATTTTGATGTAGTAGAATAAGAAAACTTGATATGGTTTTGTATTCCACATTTCAGCTAACCTTTACAAAGTTATCACTTTATCTAGCGTAGTATCAAAGCAGAATATTTATAATTTTTTTAAAGCTATTAAAATAATTCTTTCTTTTCCAATTTTGTATCTATGTGAGACCAGATTTTTTTTTTTTTTTTTTGAGTCAGAGTCTTACTATTGCCCAGGCTGGAATGCAGTGGCACGCTCACAGCCTCTGAAGCCTCAACCTGCTGGGCTCAGGCAATCCTTCTGCTTCAGCCTTCCAAGTAGCTACAGGCATGCACCACCAAGCCCGGCTAATTTTTTTTTTATTTATTGTAGAGATGAGGTCTTACCATGTTGCGCACGCTGGTCTCGAACCCCTGAGCTCAGGCAGTCCTTTTGCCTGTGCCTCCCAAAGTGCTGGGATTATAGGCGTGAGTCACCACGCCCAGCCCAGATTTTCTATCTATAATTTACAACAGATTTTATCAGAGGCAGGTATGAGAATCTAGTTATCTTCTATTAGGCCAGATATTAAAGAGATTTTCAAAAATATAAAATGGTGCCACTTCCCATAAAAACATTTATATTCACATAAAATATTTATGTGAACATAATTTACATAAACAAATTAATAAATATTTTTAAATGTCCTCAGTTTTAACTTCCAGTATGGTAAATATTGATAGATATGATCCACATAAACAAAAGCTCTTTGGAAGGTCTTCAGTAATTTTTCATAGTATGAAGGGATTCTGAAACCAAAAAGTTTGCCAATTTGTGTTGAGTGATGATGCAGTTCATCACTAATAGACTTCATTTCAAAAAGAAACACTTATATTTCTGTGCATGCTGGGCTCGGTGGCTCGGCCTGTAATCCTGCGCTTTGGGAGGCTGAGGTGAGTGGATTCCCTGAGCCCGTGGGTTCGAGACCCGCCTGGGCAACTTGGAGAGACCTCATCTCTACAATAAACCAAAAAATTAGCCGGGCGTGGTAGCGCACGTCTGTAGTTCCAGCTACTTGGAAGGCTGAGGTGGAAGGATTGCTGGAACTGGAGCCCAGCAGGTCGCGGTGGCCGGGAGCGGCCATGGCACTCCAGTCTGGGCAACAGAGTGAGACTCCAACTCAGAAAAAAAAAAAAAAATAGACGTCATTTCAAAAAGAAACACTTATATTTCTGTGCATTTGATAACCTCAAGTCTTTGACTTACTAGTGATTCTCAAAAAACTTCAGACTCTTTTATTATTATTTTTTGGCATTACAGTGGGACTTCTTCAAAAGTGGTAATTTTCACTGTTTCATTTTGTACATAACTGTAATATTCTTAAGTGATGTTTTGAGTATTGTAAACCTGAACCTATTACATATTTAAAGTAGATACAGAAATTTCTTGTGAAAATTTATGATGAGAAATAGTTATGTCCTCGATTTTACTCAGTTAAAACAAAACTTCAACGTGCACATTTAAAGGAGATCAGGAATAGAAATGATCAATTTTAAACAAAAGGAAAAAAGTTAGAAAATTTCCCCATTTTAACAGAAAACAACAAAAAAAAATGATTTAGAACCCAGGGACTTGCTTTTCTCCTCTCTATGACTTTCTGTAACCCAGTGTTGAGTTTTTATCTTTATGTGGGAGCTGGCCTTCAATTCTACAGACAAGGCTGTGATCATAATCTTTCCCCTTGGCCTTTAGACTTCAAAGTTCCACAAAACATAATTATGAGAGATGAGAGTAAGAAAGAGAGAAAAAAATAATCTTACCAAGTATCCATATAATATACCAGAGAGTGAAAAAAAGAAATCACGAATACTATTGTTGATTAAAAAACCAAACTTGGTAAAATATTTAAAGAAGTTTCTTCTGAGCCAAATATGAGTGACCTAATATGAATGACCGAGGCCTGTAGCACAGTCCCAAGGCTTCCTAAGAACATGTGCCCAAAACGTTTGAATTATAGCTTGGTTTTAAACATTTTTAGAAAGACAGAATTTACAGACAAAACATAAATCAGTATATGTGGGGTTTATATTGGTTGGGCCTGGAAAGGCAGTACATCTCCAAGTGGGGAGGACTTGCAGGTTATAGGTGGATTCCAGTATTTTCTGATTGTCAGTTGGCAGAAAATGTTAGGCTCAGTCTAAAGAATTTGAAAAAGAAATACTTGAATTAAGATAAGGGAGGTTGTGGAAGTCAAGATTCTTGATATGTAAATGAAGGCCCTAAGTAGTAGCAGGCTTCAGAGAGAATAGGTGGTAAATGTCTTAAAAGGTGCTTTTTGCAGATACCAATTTCCCCAAGAGACAGCATTACAGGGTCACTTCAAAAGATGTCAAAGAAACATATTTTGGGTTAAAATATTTTTATTTTCTTTAGAGCTTGCTATCTGTTATGTGATGCTATGCCAGAGTCAGGATGGAATTTGGTATCTATGGCCTCAGAGTCTGTTTTGTCAATCTTATGATCTCTATTTTGATGTTAATGCAGGTTAGTTGTGCCTAAAACTCTATAAGGAAGGGGTTATAATAAGGTGTGTCCATCCTTCTTTTCTGTCATCACCCAGAGTTGAGTTTTTCAGGTTTCCCTTGGTGCAGGTTGGGGCAGTGGGGCGGTGGGGGTCCATTCAGTCGGTTGAGAGGCTTAAAATTTTATTTTTGGCTTACACGTTAAGCCACTTTTTAAAAAATGTAAAGTATGAATATTTATTTCAGGCTTTCAATCTCAATCCATTTCAAAAAACAAAATCTGATTTCTCTCCTCAGAGTAGCTGAGGCCTCCACATTAGGATGATTTCACGGAGGCTGAAAGAGCACACTTCATCAGGCTTAGAACAAAGTCCCTGACGCCCACCATATTTCAGTCTTAGGAAGGGAAAGAAACAAAATTCACCATCATGGGGCAGAACAGATGCGCACACACTAATGTAAACGAGCAGCTAAACCTTGGCAAATTTGCTTTTTTTTTTTTAAGTTTGTTTTGTGGGTTTTTTCCCCATTTTCTTTTGCTACCCAGTATATGCAGCACTTGTGAACTCCCAACAGGTTCCCAGCTTTACACAAACATCTTGAAAGACTATTCTTCAAGAATGTAAAAACAGATCAAATGTGTTTTGCTGTGAACATTCTGTAGAGACGAAGTGAGGCGGCAGGAGTTTGGGTTGATTTGTTTTTTTTTTTTAGAATCAAAACAGTGATAGAAGGGTAAAGAATGCAAGAATTCAGACATTCTGTGGAGAGTTTCTCTCCATTAAAGGTCCATAAAAAGGAGCAAACTGAGATCCATGAGAGGAGTCAGCAGGAGCTGTGTGTGTTTCCTCACCTGCTGTGAATAGGTTTTTGCTGAGGGGCCATTGCTAGGTCCCTACTTGCTCCCCTCCGTTTGGCGAGCACTGAAGGAGCACGTCACGACTCCTTGTTCTCAGAATCATCATCATCCTAACAGTCAGCATCTTCCTCCTCTTCATGTTCATCATCAATGTCGTCATCATACAAGTCATCATAAAGCAAATCTGAGCTGTTGTCATTGGAAGGCACTTTAGTTTTGATGCAGTCTTCCTCCAGGGTCGTGGGGACCTTCACTCCATCCTTTTCTGCTTCGGCCTTAGTGGCTGAAACCTGTTTCCTAATGATTTCAACACATTCTTTGTCTTTTCCTTTACTGCCTCTCCATTTCCTGAACATAACTGAAGCATCCACATTGGGAAGAAGGTGTCGGGTTCATTAAGGAGTGAGATTACACTTAACAGGATAATCCTCACATTCTGAGTGGGGCTCCACCTTTCAGAAGGCAGCTCTCCACTCTGTGGGTCATCTATAGGCGGGTGAAGAATCGAAATGCATGTATCTCCATTTTCATAAATGTTGGGGTGCCACATTTTGGTCAAGAATCTGAAGGTAGGTGGTGAATAGGGGTAGTCAATAGGAAATTTAATATGCGCCTTGAAGTAACCACCTTCGCAGAGGGTGTTGGGGGGTCCGAAGATGGCCACCTCCCAGTTGTAGAGGTCAGATTCATCCACCAGGGTGATCCGGAAGCCCTTCACCGGCTTCTCCTGCAGGGATTTCAGTTCGAGCATCAGGGCCTTCTGCAAGTGGTCATCTGTTGCTGGGCCATCGCAGCGGCGGCACGCCCGGCCGGGGCCCCAGTCCTCATGCACAGGCCGACCAGGCCCCTCCGCTCCGCTCACCTCAGGGCCGGGCACGCCGGGCGTAGTCTTCCCGCTCCCTGGGGACCAGACCAGGCCCCAGAGTCAGGCAGGCTGCTGGGCCCTCTTGCACTGGGGCCAGGCGGGTAGAGGGAGGTCAGCAAATTTGCTCCAGGCCCAGGGCCTCCCTCCTCTCCCCTCCCTCCGCACCCCAGGGGGTTAAGCCCACTTTTAAGCATCTTACATCTGCAATCTATAGAGCTGACCTACTTTAAAGGCTACGAAAAAACTTTTTAATTTTTTTTATTTTTATGATTTTTTTGCTGAGTGCAAGTTACTTGAAAGTATTTGATCAGAGACCACCATAAGGATGCATAGCTGTCATATATACACCCCCCAAAAAAATCTGTGTTTGGAAAAAAAATAGTGATAGAGTTTATGCTTCAACCAAAAAGAGGCTCAAGAACAGATTAGACAATACCAACAAATGCATGTCAAACAAAACCCAAAAAACAGGTTAGGTGGATGTTGTGTATTATACTGCCTCATTAAAGAAAATGAGTCTAGATTGATCTAATTAACTCACACAGATTCAGCACATTTTACACATGAAGCAGGCTGCAATGGCCATCTCCTGCCACAGCTGTTTGTTTAAATTGTTCACATGAGTCATACTGAGAAAGAGTCTTTAAAAAAATAAGTAAACAAACTATTTGAAATCTTTGTCTTCCACCTGATAATCATCTTAGAGAAGCATTATAATTATGTACTTGGGAGAGTCCCTGGCCTAAGGCCTTTCTAAACCTGAAGTGGCCTCACATAGAAATTTAGAAGAAATATCTTTTCACTTCTCACTCATTGGACGTATAGTGTTTGATTATCAAGTCTTTTACCTTCATGCTGGTTTAACTGTAACATTCAGCCTAAGCTTTGCACTCAAGCCGTTATTAAAAGCATTTTCATATCACACATGTGGAGGTTAACTATTGCAAATTGATCAGTTGAATATTTTCATGTCACTGTTTAGCAAATGCGGAAATGTTGATTTGTAAAAAGATGACTAGAAATGAAAGCATGAATTCTTTGCCACCTTCCAAATCAGCAGTAAGTACTAATAAGCTCATTTTTCAGAAAAGCAATGCAATGAAAATAAAAATAATGATTCATTCTTGTAACGTGCTTTGTGAAGGTACATGAACTTTGGTGAGAGCCATCTGGATTTCCTCCTACCTCTACTACTTGTTAGCTGTGGGGTCTTGAGCAACTCATTTAGTCTAAGCCTCATCACCTCCCTCTTCTTAAAATGGGGATAATGATAGTGATCTCACAGGGTTGTCACAGGGATTAAACATTTGTTTAGCGTAGTACTTGGCTCATACTATGTGCCTTAAATAGTACTAATAGTAATTGTGGCTGTTATCGTTGCTTTATTAAGTTGTATTTCACAAGTGCTAATTAAGTTCTGTTATCTTCCTGAGTCTTGGTTTCCTTTCTCTAAAATGGGGAGTGGGTAGATGATCTCCAACTGGACATTTCCAGCCTGATTCAACCTCAAGAGGTTGGCCAGCTGCCCAGTAGGGGGTCCTTCAGGCCCACCCTGTTGCCCTCCCTGCTCTTCCTCCCCTTCCCTGCACAACTTTCCTAGCCAGTTATTACTTGGCAGGAGGTCGCTTGATCAAAGCCCTGGGTAAGGTCAGACATTCCTGGAGTGGGACATTCTGCTGACTGCAGGAGCTGCCCTTCCTGAATCTCGCACTGCAGAAGCTCTGGATCACATGGAGAGGCTTTGCGGGGAGCCATTTTTTCTAAGCACTGGGGCTCTCTGAGATGGGAGGGAGTTATGAGAGTACACCTGCTTGGAAGTCGCTGTCAAAAGCTGTGCTATACCTTCATTTTCTTTTGGGATGTACAGAAGAGAGAAATTGAATGTGGAGGTTAAGTTTTGTCATAAAGATGCTAACAAGTAGTAAATTACAGTATAGTCAGACAATGCAGCTGGTAAAAATGGTATCATAAAATATTTAACCAAGGCAAAATATTCACAACATATTGAGTAAAAAACTAGATCATAAAACAATATCACAGGTTTTAAAAATGTGTATTTGTGAAGCTATTATGAAGAAAAAAACTGGAAGGACATCTCTGTTAAAGTTGTCTTTTCTGGGTGGCAGTATCAGATAATTTTTGTTTGGATTTTCTGAATGCTTTATAAAGTATGTAATTATAAGAAGAAGAAAGAAAACCAAAGAAAGAAACCAACTTGCCTTTCAGATGAAAAGATTAACCTCTTCAGAGAAAAGAGGATGTGTGAATGTGAATTGTGTGCAGTGATGCCTGGGTCACATGTTACCAGCTTTAGAAGCTATGGAATGTGACCAGACTCTTTATTTGTTACCACTTATACAGCACTCATGGCATGCCCAGCACTGTTCTCAGCACTCTAGATATATTAACTTATTGAATCCTCTCCCCAGCTTCCTGGAGCAGACCCTGTGATCCTTACTTCACAGGACAATGAGACACAGGGCAGTGAACACAGTTCAGGGCACACAGCTAGTGAGTAGCAAAGTCAAGGTTCAGACACAAGTTGACCTGGCTCCAGAATCTACACTTCAGCATGCACTGTTGTGTTTCATGACAGCCCTGGTGCCAGCAGCTTTCAAGTTGGATGTTTATGTTTGTGGCCATGGTGAGGGCTAACTGGGGTACTGTGCTCAAATGTGGTTAGAAGTGGACACACAGGATTCTTTGGACTCTTTTTTTCCTTACTTATTGTCTTTCTTGTCAGCTGAGTTCAGCTCATGTTCCCTCCCTCCACTTCACTGTTTGGATCCCAATCCAGCCCCTACAAAGCCACCATGGCTGCCAGATTCTATTACTTATTTTACCCAAGAGTTAGAGTCTTCCTGGGAGTGAGCACAGTGATGAGTGGACAGCTTCACTGGGATTGAAACACCATTTGTTTTTCTTCTGTCATTGTCAAGGACTTCAGTTCTCTCTACAAAAGTAGCTTTCCTTAACTGCTACTCAGTAGAGGGAAGAAAATAAGTGAAGAAGAAAGGGCACCCCCCCAGCCGGGCTTGGTGGCTCAGCCTGTAATCCTGCGCCTTGGGAGGCTGAGGTGAGTGGATTGCCTGAGCCCGTGGGTTCGAGACCTGCCTGGGCAACTTGGCGAGACCTCATCTCTACAATAAATAAAAAATCAGCCGGGCGTGGTAGCGCACGCCTGTAGTTCCAGCTACTTGGAAGGCTGAGGCGGAAGGATCGCCGGAGCCTAGCAGGTCAAGGCTGCGGTGGCCGGGAGCGGCCACTGCACTCTAGTTTGGGTGACAGAGTGAGACTCCAACTCAAAAAAAAAAAAGAAAGAGCCGGGCTCGGTGGCTCAGCCTGTAATCCCGTGCCTTTGGGAGGCTGAGGTGAGTGGATTGCCTGAGCCCGCGGGTTCGAGACCCGCCGGGGCAGCGAGACCTCATCTCTACAATAAATCAAAAAATCAGCCGGGCGTGGTAGCGCGCGCCTGTA